CCCGGGTCTCGGTTGTCATCAGCCTGCAGTTTGCAGTCCTGGCAGGTCTTCTTCAGGCTATTTACAATTTCCTTGAGATTCTGGACGTCTTTGAACACCTCCTCGATCCTGCTGAACTGCTTCGGGAGCTGAATAGTCAGCGGGGGCAGGTTCACCTGGTAGGGGCATTCGCCTCCCTCCTCGCATTTCCCTCTGCTTTCTAGTCTCACCGGGCAGGCGTCCCTGGCTGCTTCATCTTTAATTTCCTCTGTTTCATTGTTTGCCACAACCAGAAACCCATAAGCAGCAAGGACAGCTGAGCTCAGCCAGCACCAGTTCGCCAGCTTCATCTCTGCGGTGGCGCTCACCCCGGCAGGGAAGGGTGCCTGGCTAGAGCTGCTTTAATAGCAGCAGCTGCCTGCCTGAGTCAGGCTTTCTGCGTTCTCAGAAAAGGGCGGGAGCACTTGCATCACACGTTTCAGAAACACAGAGGAAGCGGAGATTGTCCTCATCAAACTCAGTCTGCCAAAAACTGCTCTTTATTCTCAATCAAAAGACTCTGCCTCGGAATTCCTGTGGTCAGTCAGATGCACATATTCAACTAGTTTCACTTCCATCGTTTATTTCATAGAGCACAAGAAATAACTTGGATTTTAAAATAATTATACTTGAAGTAAATCATGTCATTATACTTAACGCCACAGTGAGGAGTTGGGTGGAATAGTTTTTAAAGATAAAAGTGAATGTGTTAGCTAACCAGACTGAGTGAAGAACAGAAATGCTACAAATTGGAGATGGCCCTTTTTCCTTCTTGGAATGGGGCACCGAGGTCCTGTATTTTGTTCATGTTGCACTTTCAGGTGAAATCTCAAGACTTAAACAAGATTTTAAACATAATGAGGTTCAACTTTCTGACTCTTGCAGTGGACTTTTGTTTTATCTATCTGAAAAGCACAGAAAAATGGTAGAGAAAAAAAGTGCTACCTTTCTATTCCTTTGACCCACAGCATAGTGTAGTAGAAATGTCTCAGTGACGAAAACACTTTTAAAAGTATACCACTGGCTTTCATCAAAACCAGCAGCCTCCTCCTCCGCCCTTCACCATTTTTGTGATTGCATTGTCCTTCCTATAGCTGCCCGAGTGTGACTCTTTGAACTCCTCCCATCTCTGCTTTTTTAAATTTTGTATATCTATTTTTTTAATTGAAGTATTGTCAGTTTACAATGTTGTGTCAGTTTCGGGTATACAGCATAATGCTTCAGTCATACATGAACATACATATATTTGTTTTGATATTCCCATATATCTAGTATTTATTAAGGAACTTCTGTATACTCGACACTAAGTTAGAGCGTATAGAAGTGCATGCCATGTTCTGTTTCTTTCATTCATTCACCTATCAACCAATCCATCCGTCATATATTAACTGAACATCCTCTACACACAAAACACTATTCCAGGCACTTAGGCAATACTAGTGAGCACATCAAACAAAAATCCTTTTTCCTTCTTAGGAATGGGTATTGAGAACCTTGCATTTTGTTCACGTTGGACTTTCAGGTGAAATCATAAGCACTGCGAGGTGTTTCTAAGTCTAACAAAAGCGCAGCTTTCTGACTCTTGCATTGGGCTTTTGTCTCATTTCTTTGGATCAGGGGTTTTCTTTCCAGATACTGCTGCTGAGTCTTGGGGCCTGCACACCTCACTGAGCCAACGGCCAGTGGCACAGTTCTACCTAAAAGTTTAGATGTGCTATGGGAACTGGCTCCTGTCCCTTCAAGACCATAGAAAATTACCCCAAATTAAGGCAGAAAATTGCTTCATTAATAAGTTTTTATTGACACTGATACGTGATACTCTGGGCTTTTAATTTTTTTTCCCCTCTGGGTTCTTAATTTAAAAATTTACTAGTCACTAAGTGACTGCCATATGAAAGAGGCTCGAGCTGCCTACTGAGTTCATGACCCATGGGGGCAGAGAGTGTTCCGCCAGTTATACAAGAAGCACTCACACAGCTCACTGCACCCTCCCATCTCCACAGTTACTACCTACATGTGCAGTGACCGAAGAAAGGGTTCAAAGCAATAAATGACTTGTCTGTGGTTTTACACTTTTTAAGGAACAGAGTTTGAATCTGAACCTGGATCTGACTCCAAAGTTCATCTCTTTCCTCCTATGCCACACTGCCGAGTCAGGGGAAATAATACTGGAAAGGCATGTTGGTACCATGTTGTGGAGAACCTGGTGTTTAAACACTACTTAGATCAGTGGGGAGCCATTGAAGGTTTTAGAGCAGAGGAATAATATAATCAGTTGAGCACTTTGGAGAAATTAATCCACCAATGAAGTAGCAGGTGTACTGGGAAGGAAACAATTAGGCAAGGAGGGCAGTGTACAAGATAGAGGCCATTTAAATAGTCCATGTCACTGTTTCTTCAAATGTTTTCCAGAACATGAGTAGTAGACATTGATGAGTGTTACACGTGAATAGAGTTACAGGGTGAGTGGCTCTGAAGATTGTCAGTCATATGCTAATGTGTAACATGGCTGACCGAGAGGAAAGTAATGTATGCTGCACTTTTCAAACTTTGGTTGACAATGAGAAACTTTTTTTCTAGGACCATTTTTAGAAATGACTCTTGTGCTAGAAATCAGCAGGAAATGGTGTCTGAGGTGAGAGGTGTTAGCGTGGTGACAGGTACTAGGTAAGAGGTGAACCAGTGTGGTGGCAGGCTGGGTGGTGAAGGGGTAGCAGATATTATTGGCAAGGAGTGATCAAAGCTATAGAATCTGATACAGGATGAAGAATGGAAGGAGAGGCGGGGTGAGGGAGCTCTGTGCAGTGTGACTGATTGGAGCGAAGTAATGGCATAGCAACGAGAGTGAGAGCGAGCAGTAGGTTGAGGAGAGGGGACTAGTAGTATTTCTGCTTTGGATACACCGACAAGCCACCAAGCAGAAATATCTAACAGACAGTTGGACATCTAAGTAGTAAAAACTGCACAGAATGGATGTGTGATGGCAGGAACCAAAAGGATGGTCAAAGAAATAAGATGAGAACCAGAAGAGCACAGTGGCAGGAAGACTAGGAGAGGAGGTTTCAAGGAGGCAGCCATCAAATAACCAGTCTTGAAGAGCTGACTTCTTGTCCTCAACTCGCACGGAATCCCCACCCTCTGACCTTGACTTTCTGCCTTCTCCCTCTTGCTGGAAAGCCTTTTTGGACGCTCTCATGCCCTGCCTGCCCTGACTCCTAGGATCATCTACTGATTCCTCATGGCAGTGTCAGCATCCTCTACCCCAAATCTGCTCTCAACCCAGAACTGACACATTATGTCCACATTCAGATTTGTTTTTCAGATCTCAACAAATTATTTAACACCAATTATGTTGGGATTTTAAAGTAGCAAGATGTTTTTATAAGCCCCATATGAAAATTACTTTCATCGGTATATTCACAACATATTCACACTTCTTTACTTTTTCTTATGCAAAGTATACTCAAGAGAGTAACACATGTATTTTCTCCTTAAGGTGCATCACAGCCTTCCTGCACTTAGGAACACTAGACAGCAACTCAGCACTAAGCTCAGGGGCCATTTTAAACAGTGACAACACCAACAAAAACACCGAAGTGTGAAAAACGCCCAAAAATGTGGCACTTAGATTGCAAAAAACAGCACTTGTTTACAGTCGGAGAGCTGAAACAAGAGAGTAAAGTGTTGATCTTGGAGTTCAGCTGGGAATATATGTGTTGGGCAACTCAAACTTCTTACCACCCTGCGCACGCATGTCTGTAAATGGTCCCCAAAGCCCACACATTATCCTGCAGTTACAAATAAATTCTAACAAGCAGTATTTGGTATTTGGTACCAAATACAAGCAGGCGAATTTGCAAATGCAAGATTCATGGATAATGAGGATTGATTGTATATGGTTACAAAATCCAAAGCTTTAATTCTTAAAAATATTTATGTATTTATTCTAAATTGAATGTTAATTTTATCTGTTTAATCACTTGCATTCCTCAGGATATTATTTGTTTTGTTTGTCTTTACTTGGTGTTTAAAAATAATATTAATATGAATTTATAACATATTACACATAGCTACATTATGTTATATAATTTCACATAATATGCAATATCATGTTACATAATCTATGTAAATTTAAACTGAATAATAAAATTCAGCTTAGGAATTTCACTTTATACATAAAAATAGCATGCATCTTAAATGATTATTATGAAAAAGTGGAAACATTAAACTAATTCCATGCCAACTGAATAATTTCACGCTAAATGTGTGCCTTTTAAATGCCTATCCTTACTCTCTTTGAAACTAGTTTTTAAAAGACACAAGTTTATCTTATGAAATATATGTCAGCATATGAATTCTCAGTAAATGCTCATACAAAGGTGATTCCACTGTGCTGGTAACTAAAGAAAATTCATGAATGGAGTAAATGTAGTTTTAATAGTAAACACTGGAACACACTAATAGTTCATCGTCCAAGTTCTTCTAAGGAAATCTTTTTAAAGTATAGCATTCTGAGGTATCTTATTAAGTTTCTTTCTTTTTCTGCTTCTAGTTTGATATTATCTATGATTTGAGTCATTTCCTGTTATTTGCAGTGAAAAATTTTCAGAGTAAAAGAAACCACTTCATGATCTTTATCAATGGATAAAAAATTGCTTGACCCTTATTTTGCTTAAAGTGTCCACCATTATTTACCACAGCTTTCCTCTGCTTGTGTATTTAACACATAATTATGTCAATGACGTACAAATGATACGGCATGTATTTTGACATTTGATATAAAGTTCAGCTGCAACAATTGCTGTTGCACAAAAAGATGATGAAATAGATGCACAAGTTGCGGCCAGTCACGTATAAACATAGGGTTAAAATAAGTCTCCATTCACTACCATTATCATCTCAAAAATAGCATGACATGACAGAGTGAAAAGAGCCTTAGAATGACAGTCTTGGAACCCGTGATGTTAGTGAGGAAACTTCCACTTTCTTGTCACTTAACTAGCCATTAATTTCCTTATCTGTATTCTGAGAAGGTCAGATGAGAGATCTCTAAGGTCCCTTTCAGGTGTAATAGTTTGTAACTATAAATGTTATTAGTTAGCAGCCATGTAATAGCAAAGCAAGTATTCATAATAAAAACATACATATAGATATTCCTTGAATTAAATCATTAGTTCCAATGGAAAATTATAAAGATCTACTTCGTTTGAGCTATTCCTCCAATCACTGAGTCCTTATTTTGCATTTATTAAGCCATGCTCTGTACTGACCCTGTGGATGACAAAAGTGAAAAAACAGGTGAATTTCTGACTTCCGGGAGATTTAAGTTGCAGAGCAAATTATTTCAAGCCAGAGGCAGCTGTGGACCAAGGCAGTATGCTTGGCCTTAGAATAGCAGTCA